AACTGAGATCCATGACTGTGTTAGCCAAGAAAGTCGGTTGAAGTTACTGTCATGTTCTTCCAATTAAACTGAGATCCATGACTGTGTTAGCCAAGAAAGTCGGTTGAAGTTACTGTCATGTTCTTCCAACAAATATTGGACATTAGAAGCTTGGTGGATTATTATCCATTAGGATGAAAATGGATAATAGTAGAAAGGACTAAAAGCAATGTTATCAGGACAGCAGAAGTAGGATCAAGTGCTTTACATGGTTTATCTCCATATTTTTACATTGTTGGTAGTACTGTTAAAGACAATTATTCAGACTGTATTTCACGCTGTGCTTGGTTGGCATATGTAATACCCTTTACATTTTAGAGTCAGAGATAATCGAATTTTGACTATTAGTGAGGGAATTCGTCAACTGAGTCACAGTCTGAGGATTATCATAATCATAAAAGCCAAGTGTCGGTCAGTCAGTCAGTCGGTCACGCTCGATTTCTCCAAACTTCGTGAGTTACACGACTCCAATTCCACCTTTTCTCCAATAATGCTTCCTCTTCGGATTGCCCGTTCCCACTGTAGTTAAATTTAATAACTAAATAGGCGCAAGTAGCTTCTAAATCTTGGAACTTTTTCTGCTATATAAAAATACGGAGTTTTTATACCAAGGATTTATTTAGCACCGAGTGAAATTAATTTACCGTTTGTTATGAAGAGAAGTTTTTGAACGATGATCAAGTATTTACAATAAATGTGGTTTTAAGTGAACTACTGTACTAATGCAATTGATGTGATAAGAAACTAACTGTGATCAATGAATGCTGGGAAGAGACACTCTTTAGTTAAAGTAAATAATGCTCATGATAGGCTTAGGTTTCCCGAAGCTAGAAGGCCCTTTATATTTCTCATGTCTGTTTACGGACAGCAAAGTTGGAAATGCATGTTGGAGGATTCAAATTTGGTAGGCTTTGGTTTCCTGTCATTTTTGACGGGCTCTTATACTAGTTGATCTTTAAATGCCAATCAAATCGATTTTTTTCTATCTGCCACCATCAATTGGTGGTCACAGTTTTTCTAGTGGCAAATATTTTGATTGTGATAACTGATAAGACCGATAACAGATGTATTGAACAGCCAACCAAAGAAATGATGTTTTACTTTTATGATTCTTATATATGGGCATATATTATCATGTTGCCTTGAAAGTACAAAAGATCTTTGCTCTCACCCATGATTACATTTACGTATTTACAGTGTATAACCAATCACCTGTCATATCACGCAATTAGTTTTTATTCTACCCCTCCCCAGAATCAATTCTTTGCTGTGATTGGCTGAGATCGCATTATGGCTTATACAACATTTGCACTGTTACCTTCAAAACTGCGCAAGAAATCGACACAATGTTTCCCGATTGTCAAGGCTGTTGCAATACATACTTGACGTCACAACAGAACTTTGCAGAGATATTTTTTGCAACACAGTGAAAACACGGTGATCCATTTAGACCTAATTACAAACCTCTAGACAAATTTTATTTTGAAGTTAGGCAGGTGCGTACTTTATACATTTATTTACAGGTAAGTCCGTGGATGTAGGCTTGATATACTGTGAGACAGAGCTAATTAACTAGATCTTAGTAAAGCTGATAACAGAAAGGGGTATAGAATAAAACAATTACTGACTGGTGATTTCGAGCAACAGATCATTTGTTGCCGCCCTTATAGCCAGTCATGGCCAGGTGGTTAGGGTGCTCGACTCGCAATCTGCGGGTTTGAATCCCCGTCCCATCAAACATGCTCGCCCTTTCAGCCATGGGGGCGTTATAATGTGATAGTCAATCCCACTATTCGTTGGTAAAAGAGTAGCTCAAGAGATGGCGGTGGGTGGCGATGACTAGCTGCCTTCCCTCTAGTCTTAGACTGCTAAATTAAGGACGGCTAGCGCAGATAGCCCTCGTGTAGCTTTGCGCAAAATTCAAAAACAAACAAACATAACCAGTCGATAATTGTTCAATGTTGCATGTGCAAACGAGTGTTCAACAAATGTATCTGGCGGAGGGATATCTCAATAAACTAATCAGACAATCTACAATGGAATCTTAATATTTAAAACCAGAAGTTTAATTCCAGTGCAGGGACTGTTTGTGAGAATTCGTGAAAACAGCGAGATAAATACCGCATTGAATATAGTTGTTTAAACAATGCGTTTCACAACAAGTAAAAGCTTGGAAGGGTCTATTCTTTCATTGGGGGTGTGTGTCTGTGAGCCGAACTAGCTTCGGAGAATTCCTCTCGCAGCATAGTGTAAAGAAAAAAAAACAAACAAACCTGCTTTCTAAGATCAACTTTCTTTAAAATAAAACAAAGTATATGCTAGAAAACCAGATATATCTTTAAAATTCTAGGAGAATAACAAAAGAAAACAATAACATAAAATCTACCTGCACTAACTAAATGTCACCGGTATGATTTCGTCCTCCAAGTTGCTGGGGTGTTAACATCATAGATTGTTTTTTTTTTTAACTGCGGGGATATTAACAACATATTTTATTCACTAAATCATTATGTTCTTCACAGTATATCTTGAAATAGTTAATACTACGTCTTGCCCTGCAAATTAATGTGATTAAAAGAATGTTTTGTTTTTTAACTGTGGGGATATTAACAACATATTTTATTCACTAAATCATTATGTTCTTCACAGTATATCTTGAAATAGTTAATACTACGTCTTGCCCTGCAAATTAATGTGATTAAAAGAATGTTTTGTTCTCAAAGTTACTTATTTGTTAACAGTATATCTTGAAATTCCTGAAACGTTAATACTACGTCTTGCCCTGCAAATTAATGTGATTAAAAGAATGTTTTGTTCTTAAAGTTACTTATTTGTTAACAGTATATCTCGATAACCAGACTGCTGGAGGTATAAACAATATGTCTTTGTAGTCCAAGCTTTCATACTAGTGAGGTATCGAAAATCAAACTGGTGTATTTACGTGTTTTACACTCACCAAAAAAGAAACCTACCTCACAAGTATGAAGGCTTGGTTTGGTCTGATATTTCATTGGTGGTAGTGTCCAGGGTCACTGATGAGGAGTGGAATTCTCCCGAAACTAGTCTGGCTCACGGACACACCCCAATGAAAGAATAGACCATTCCAAGCTTACACTTGTTGTTAAACAAATGTTTAAACAACTCTACTTATTCAATTATAGACATAAATAAATGTTATCGGACTCTGTCACCGTCCGATAAGTAACTAGGAACTTGCCGGCACCGTGAACAATAAATATATCCTCTAACTTACTATAATGTTAACATTATAGCTAGCAAACCAAGTTACTAGGGCGTTAAGAGCATATCTAGCGCTGTAAATCGGTGACATGTTAACAGTATATCGTACTATCCAAACTGTATGGATGCTAACAGAATATTTGTCCCTCAAACACATGAGGTGATAATTAGGTCTCAAAATCGGTCAAGATATGGAGCTATGAACTAAAAGTTTTTACTTGAAAACAAACAAACTCAGAGCTATTCTATGAGCCACTATGCCGCGGCTAAATATATATATGTATATACATATGCAAGTTACCAACCTTAGAAAATAACTAGCACCTACATGCATACTATCAACTAATAGTTAAAATAATAAAATGATTATATTAGTCACAGGACCAAATACGATCTGTATCGTTTGTCGTACGAGTTTTAAAATTAATATACTTGAACTAATAGATTTAAAACTCTAACCAAGTAAAACAACAAACAAATAATTTTTGACTAAAGAGTCTTCTTTTTTAATACACATACATATATATATTTCGCACTAGCAATAAGATATATTCTCATTTTGTAATCTACCTACTGAATTGGTTGCTCGTTTCAAATGGGTTACAACATTAAGTTACTTACTTTTATGTTACGTCCTGGATCATCTTCTACCAACTGTCGAGCAATGTCCTTGCATCTGGAGGCGTTCTCGGGTTTGTTCTCGTCAGATTCCCAGTTTCGATAAGGAGTGTGAGCATAGGATGCTGCTGGAGTGGCATGAGTGACCCTGGCCGTCGTTATGATACCCGTGTCTTTCCCTGAAGACAACATGACGTAATATAACAACTTTAACATTTCGCAAAGCAACTTAAAGCACAGTTACACGATTTAGTCTTAGCTTGTTATTTAACAGGTCATCTTTTGTACAAAGGTTACGATTATAACTGGTCTTTGTTGGTGTATGGAAACAATGCCACACTCACATTATGCTCTAGTTCACGTGACGTCACCAGTCCATCTTATCCACATATATAGGATCATTCACGAAAGTGTGGATTTTACGAAAATTAGCGAAGATATTTTGTTACGAATTTTAAGAAACAAACCGAAATTGAGCATAATAACGTTATAAAATGTTATTGTTAACCCTGATATTACAGGATGATATTGAAAACAAAACTTGATTCCTTGACAGCATATTCCACAACTTAGAGAAATATATGTTTAGAAAAACAAGCATATATATTGCTTCTTCCTGGTATAATAATTTAAAACTTAATCATATAGACACTTCAAGAAAACATTCTTTCTTGATCTTCATTCAGCAAACATAAAACCAATCTTCAACGTGAATTCATTGACACGTTTTTAATAACGTAAAACTAGGAGTTAATGATTGTAAATAGCTGTCTTGGAAGGATTGGTATTTCAGACCCTGCGAATTTATAAAGTTTGGGAACTGTTTAAACACTTCCTTGATTCCTAAATTCGATCCATAGCCAGGCCATCAACTTTATTATGCAAGGTTTTATTAAAATCCTGATTCCTAAATTCGATCCATAGCCAGGCCATCAACTTTATTATGCAAGGTTTTATTAAAATCCTGATTCCTAAATTTATTCCATAGCCACACCATCAAGGATTTCGATACCCATAGTGGGAAGAGCACAGATAGCTCTTTGTGTCGATTTGTGCTTAACTACAAGTAAACAAACAAAGTCCTAACGTTCCTAAATTCGATCCATAGCCAGGCCATCAACTTTATTATGCAAGGTTTTATTAAAATCCTGGTTTCTAGCATTGTAAGTCCGCAGACAAGCCGGGGGGGGGCGGCGTTAGGACTTTAACACTACCATATAATGATGTGGTTATGTTGTTGTTTGTTATTAAACACAAAGCTACACAAAGGGCTATCTTTAGGGCTCATAACCACATAGCTCTCCAGTGGTACAGCTGTATGTCTGCGGACTTATACTGCTAGAAACCGGGTTTCAATACCCGTGGTGGGCAGAGCCTTTAGCTATGCTGCTTGTATGTTCATGGTAAAAATGGTCGAATGAATGACATTCCTTAATACCATGGCATGTTAAATATAATTTGGTAAACGAGTATTTACCTGAGTTTGTTAGCATCTTAACAATATACACAAAGGTACTGATTTCACCAATGAACTTAGCCATCTTCACAATATCCTCGATACAACATAAAGAATTTTTGTAAGGTTATAAAAGTAAGCTAACTTCACAGATGACAGCTAAAGTATTTCAATTGATGAAAAATATTTAAGGACATAAATCAAAACATCAGATAATCCGAAACCTATAATGATCAGAATACATTGATTCGTCATTTAAATAGTCTTAAATCCAAACATTAATCCAAAAAAGACAAAAATATCTTTACAAGTTTAAAACTAATTTAAGACGTATTTAATTTCAAACTTAACTGTAAAGAAAGTTTTCTCATATTTCAACAGAAACTTGATGGAGTTGTTTGTTGCATCTCATTTAAAAATCCACTAAACCATTGCTACAATTTTAACTAGCATATAACATTGAAAAAAAAGTTTCACTGAAACTAAGTCAGTGTTATCAAGTGCAACAGAAAGTAAGAAATAATTCAAACTTAAACGTTCAACTCGACGTTATATGACATTTGAAGTTGTTGTTATTCTAGTGATCTTGAAGGATCTCGTCCCTCAGTTAGAAACCAGTATAAATATTTCAACTTATCTACTAAAAGTTGTTTTTATTTGTAGCTTGCCTAACCTGACATTTTCAATGTCTATGCTATCTGTTCCTGTTAATACGACCCCTGTGGACACAAAGATCCTTCACCCTGTTGCTGTTCTAATCAGAATACGAACACGTGAATGCTTTTCCCTGATCACGTGTACTTAGGGACATTGACCCAACTGAGACTCACTCGTGGACACTGCAACTCCATCAAGCAATGAAGAGAAAGAGGTCATCACAATCTATAGATCTGATAGACCTTTGTATGAATGTCGACATGAACTTTGATATGAGAATAACTTAGAAAACTGTTAAACCAGATAACTAAACTATGATTTTTACACCTCTGTAGCATCCGAGCTGGAATGTCACAGATATTCTGTTGATAGAAGTGCTATCTTATGCTGATGGATATTTTGGATACATTCTTCTATGTAAGCGCTTAATCTTATGTATCAGTTGAGATGTATCATTTAAAACTTGAACACCGGTTACATCGGGCTTTCAGGACTAGGTACATCATCAAATGTTGTTTACCTGTTAAACTTGTCACCTTTTTCACAAGGCCATGCTAGTTGACTACAAGTTAAAACGGACATATGCAATGCTTTCAGGAACAATACCAAATACAAAATGATATTAAGCATTATTATGGCTTACACTTTAATAAGCATGTATTTAATTGGAAATAAACATTATAAAGTATCATTAGTTTACATTACGAAACCTACGTGTTTCACTGGATACATCAGTGGTACTATTAGTTATGTTATAAGCTAAAGGATTTCTACAAGTACTAAGCCTAAAATAAGACTAGCTTCATATTGAGCGATCAGGAGTAAAGGTTGAAATGAATGAAAACATAAGCTTACTAATAAACATAAATTACACTTTAACTTATAGTGGACAGGAAAAATTAAAATGTAGCACATAGGTCACAAAAAACAACAACATTGATTCAACTAGACTGTATGGACTTTTGGGAAAACTAGGCTTAGCTTAATTTTATTTCATGAGGTATTTGTTACATGATATGTATTGGTGCAAATGGGGTTTATGCAGGTAACGTCATAATCACGTGATAGGGAAACTCGTTACTTGTCTTAAGAGGTTGACCTGATGCTGCACGTTCATTGAGCTGTGTATAACGAGCCCAGTTTTTAGTTGCTAAAATTCATAAAAAAAATGCTGTGGATAACTGATATCCTTCCATTTTCCGTTTAAAAGACAAACACCCGTTTTGATTATGGCTAACACAAATTAAAATTAATGGTTTTCCTCAGAAGCTTTTTTTCCAAAAGTTTTGAGAAGAACTCTGATTTTGTGATCAGCCTTTCACAGATCGAAGGTAATTAAAATCTGATGCGATACTATCAGGGTTTAGCCTGAAGAAGGAAGCTAAATCTCGAAATAGAAATTTTAATTCATCTTGGTATGTATATATGTTTCGGCACCGGGTGGCTCTGTGGTAGAGCTCTGGATTTCGGAGCTGGCGAATCGTGTTCGAACCCTTGCAAAACCACAAAATAATACCCTCTCTCACTTCAACTATGAGTGCGTTATAAAAGTGGCAGTCAATCACTTAGCGTGGGTGGTTGATTAAAACAAACAAATTGTACGTGGAAATCGTCATCCAAGACAATGTTTAAGAAGACCAAAGGCACAAAAGTCCATCAAACCTTCCATGGAGGGACTTGACAATTATGTGGTCAATTGGGATTGCTGTGAATCTAATTATTTTCTTTAGCCACATTTCTCAAGAAACTAGCGGATAATTTTGAGATGTGGCTGGAAGCTTGTAAACTTTTAGGTGGTGAGCCTTCGTTAATTCCAAAGCCTTGTTTATTTTGTTGTTCATTGTACCAGGAAATATACTGTTTCATTGCAATGGCTTTTGGAGCTATAAGGTTCTCTTTCGTAGCTAGAGCATTCGCTC